ATTAATTGCAAATTAAAATGTTAAATCAATTACTAAAATCTAAAAAATCATTATCGATGAAACAGAACCAACCAAAAGGAAAGGAAAGAAAACCGCAAGGTGTGTCTTTCACGAGGTCTCACACACACACACACACACACACATATATACATATATATATGCATGTGCATATATACATGCGCCACATATGTATATACATATATACAAATATGCGTATGCAAAGTTGAGAAACATATATATATACACAATCGTGTATATGCGCGATTACACGGTCCAACTTCATTGAATATACAACATATTATTTTATGTGTTTATGAACAGGTTAGTAACCTAATTTGATAGAATTCAGGATTTAATTCTCAGTGTGTTAATAAGATTATAATAACTAGAAAATCTAATTAATATTTTCATTCGAGGGTGAAAACTAGAAAACACGTTACATCGACCAAATCTTACCATGAGAAATAAGAAGATGAGGAGGAAATCAAGAACATGGAGGAGAGGCTTGATTAAGGTGAATGGGAAAAAAGCCAGAGAATGAAAGCAGAGAAAAGAAGAACAAGTGGGATGAGATGAACTGCTTTCTCTCCCAATGATTTGTGCTGCAGAGCTATCTCCTTCTTGCTTGCATCAGAAACTGGCAGTACCAGAAGATCAGAAGGAGAGGACATGGTAGCTCCTGCTGCTGATAAGTTGACCAAGAACTCATCAGACGGCCGACTATTGGTAATGCTTGATGATGATGATGTTGAAGATAACCTGTACATCGTTATTCTTGATCAGAGATGGAGGAGAAGCATAGAGTCTATACAAAAAGATGAAGTGGGTAAGCTTATATATACATATATATTAAAGGGAAAGGTGACATAGGGTGTTGTCAAAACTTCTAAAGCCTGAAGTTAAGGAGAGAAAGAGCTTTGATTTTAGAGCCAAACATGCAGTGACAGTTGAGTGCTTATACATGAATTTTCTGCAAGTTGCAATTGGATTCAATATATATATATATATATACATGATTATATATGTGTGTGTGTGTGTGAGTGTGTATGCAGTTGTGGGAGATTGAATATTTATGTGGTTTAATTTTGGGGTTAGTAAAACTAAAAGCAACTTAAAAAGCATGTGATGGAAACTTCTGTTCTAAGGTTATGTTTGTAAGAGATGAAATCTCTTTGTGATATTTGTATGGAAATTTAATATTTACTTTGACTTTAATAGTATGAAGATATTTTAGTTAAATTATAAAAAAATTAAGCTTTAATTAATTTTTAATTAAATTAAGATCAAAATTTTAATGGTTAAATTAAGCTTATTCCTTTTTTTTTTTTCTTTTATTTCAATTTAATCAACCAAAATGTGTAGCTAAAAATGGAACGG